GCCTTCGAATCACGTGGCCGAAACACTGAAGGTGCCAGCTTTGTAGCATTTTCGAAAGCCTGTCGAGGTTCGAGCTGCACCGTCGAACCTCATCATTGGGAATGCGATTTCGAGGTGCAGTGGAAGCACCAATGATCAAATACCTCGAGCTGCCTTGTATCTTATACTAATAATGGTCATGTTTCACAACCATAAGTTAGAATAGGGTGAATGAAAACCTTATAAACCCGAGGTTTGATGTGGAGTCTCATTTCGCATCGGTTCCACAATGGTCTGAGGAGCTGCAGGAAGGCTCTTCTTGCTCCATCTACACGAATTTGGATTTCATCTTTAGCCTGGCCGTTTGGTCTGTTTGTAGCTAAGATGCTTAAAAATTTGGGTTGAATCGACCTAGCCCCCGGTAATGGAGAGAGATTGTGTCATGGTAGAAGTTTCGGTCGAAACTGTCTTGTCAATCTCTAGCCCAGTGGCCTGGGAAAGCTGATTAATGTGCTTGACAACCGGTTTGAGGTTATCCATGGTGTCCCCAAGTATGATGAAATCATCCGCAAACCCGAGGCCTACAATCCAAGCTGCAATCGAGGGAAGTCGACGAGTGCTTGTTGCATTATCCAATCTACAGTGTAATTGAATAATACCGGCGATAGGAGACAACCTTTCCAGACAACTGCCGTGTGCGAATGCTCTGTCGTGGTGCAACAAGGTTCCTCATACTCGAGCTCTTGGCAACAGCTCCCAGCACTTTCGGCAGACAGTGGGTAGCGTACCAGTCTTCTATGACTGTTCTTTGCTGTACGAGCGGTACGGCAGCCACACGATCGGTTTTAGCCATTAACACAGCTACCATCTGCTCTGCCGCACTGCTCACTCGTCGGAAATTCGGAGATGGCACCCCACCAACCGGCGTCCACCGAACCGATTTTCTCCTGATCCCTGGGTTGACACTGTACACACGGGTCTCATCACCACGGATGATCTCCCAAACTGCATCGGAACGTCCACCATTAAACCTGGCAAGCACGGTGCGTCATCAATTCGCCCGAACTGGTTTCTGCTCCTTTCTGAGTTGACTAGGTACCCAGTGTGCACAAATTTTCCTGAGGCAAAGCTTCTCTTATAGGAGGTGCAGATTAACCCAATGGCTTTCGTAGCTGTGCCACTGTCACCCGCGCATTCTCCTTTGCCATCACTTGCGCCCCGGCAATGTTGTCTGCTGTTGTGGCCTCCACAGGTCGACTACACCTTGCCTAATCATCCAGCAAACACCTACCACGCTTCAATTCCGCAAACCACTCATATACAGTGCTTCTTAAAGGCGCGTCATCACCCAGCCATCACCCAACCTCTGAAAGCCTCAGTATGGTCGGGAGTGGATGTCTAGGGTTGCGGCTGGTCACTCTTCCCTTGCACCTCGCGAAATGCTCACATACGACCAAGCGTCTCAAACAGCCTCTGCTAAGGAAGCCCTACTCACTGCCTTCTCGCGGCGGAGGTGTTTTCCCAACAAAGTGAGAAAATGAAAAACCGATATTCGGGGCTATAACCGGGTTGATGGACCACTGGTAGTTCATCTAAGAGAGTTGATCAAAAACCCTGATTCCAAACCAACCAAAAGGAGGTGTACGAACCACACTCACCCACACCCTCGTCGGTGTGGCAGTGGTCACCGGCTCGATTGGGCATCAAGGTGTCTTGGTCACCTTGGACGTCTGACCCCGTCTAAAGGGCGTATGACCCGATGAACTGGACACCGGCTCCCAATGGACTGCGGTTCTCACACACCGCCCGGCTGTCTTGCGGGTCAGGCTTTGGCCAGCCGAAGGCTCCGGTTGTGGATTCCTCAAGAAAATTCACCTGCCTTTGCGTGAGCAACTTGGCAGTATTCGACCTTCATGTAAATCGTAGAGTGTCTTTCTTTTTTATAAAGATTATTGCACTACGTTTTGTTTGGTACACAGTCTGTCATGAAAAGTGTGAAATATAATAATAGTAATACATCACCCAAAGCAGCTCGCAAATGATCAGCACTCTGCTTCTGCTTTAAACCACGTTTGTATTGGTAGAAAGTCATCGCCCTCCAGTGGCATCGACTGAGTTCCGTCCTTACAATCAGAGTATTGCGACTTGTGATCTGTGCTCGGTTGTTGATATTTGGTGGAGAACATACATTTGGGACTAAACAATGGCTGACTTAGTGTTGGCCTGATTTTCAGGAACACTACGGGAGAGGATTTAATAAGAGTTCTGATGAACTTTTTCTCAAGATTTTTACCAGTTTATCTTATTTGGCTGTTTGACATGAGTAGTGTTTCTTTTCAACTACTTCCTGTCGTGGCTAATCGGAGCACCTATGTAAATGCCTGATACGATCTATCGAAAATAAGTTTTTCATGTTTTCAACCTGTATTGTCGTCAAATTTGCTTTCCACTTCGTCGATTTGTGTATGCCTTTTTAAAACGTCCCGGTTGTAACTTCTTTTGTTCCCCGACTCTTTTTCGTCGTGGGTTATTAATTGCCAATAATTTTTAGTCATTAGAGTCGTAGTTTTACCCTCCCTTGAACACGAGCTGTCTTACAGTTGTTTTGTAACACCAAACCTCTCCTCCTCATCCCTCCTCCGTAATGTTCTCTTCCTTTTTGTTCCTCCACTTTCAGTCTCCAGCTTTCTGTTCTGGCAAAGTGAGCAAAGGAGATGAAGTGATTGAGGTTAACGACCAAGTTGTGGTAAGTGAGATGAACTGTATGCCACACACTTGTCCCCAGCTACCGTCCTGATTGCTCTGAACCACACTGAACAGTTCTGTTCATGAAATAGAGGCTTTCTGTCATCATCATCATCGTACAGTGAGATACAGTGGTGCGAACTTCACTGATCGCTACCAAGCTCACATTGTACAAAACCCAAGTGATAAAGCACCAGATGGAGAGGGATTGGACCCAATTGAAGAGAGTCAAAGGAAAGGAACTTCCGTGGTCAACACCCAGAGTATACAATCTAAGTGTGCATACATACCTTTTCAAGCATTCTGACCTGATAAGGAATGACAACAAGAACGCCACTGCTGTCGGTTAGTCGCCGTATTCTTCA